CAGCCTGGGGTAGGGCAGCAGCGCCTTCCCGATCCGCCAGCCGACCCACGGCATCCCTCTGCTGCTGTACCCCTGCAGTCTGCAGCGATGCTGGCCACGGCTGGGAGGCCTTACAGAGGGGAACAGAGCAAAGATGGGGCAGCTACAGCCATAGATGAGCAAAGGCAAGGATGGCTGCAGCCCCCTGCTTTTCAGCAAAGAGGAGCGGCCAGCGCTTCCTGCCATCAAGGTGGTAGGGCCAAAGGTTCCTCTGGCTACTTGGGGATATTGGCTAATGTTTCCCTGAGCAGATGGTAGAAGGAACTTTTATCAGATTACTCTGATTAAAAAAAAAAAAAAAAAAAAGAGCCTACATCTGTGTGGGTTTGAGAAATGGAGACAGCTGCTTAATAAGGAACATTTGAAGGGAATGTTCTGTACCCTGTATTTTAGCAGCCACATGTGGAGAGAAAGATTACTGGTTCCCTTTGACAGCCAGGGGAAAGGCCGTGTAAGTACAGCAGATCAGGTGCTTCGTGCTGGTGATTAATCCTGCTCAGGAACGGTCTGTTATTTTATTGAGATGCCCGTGTCTCACGGTGGTTCAAGTTCTGAGGTTCCCATAAACTTAGCCTGCCTTTCTCGTGGTTACCTAGGGGGAGCAGCAGTTTTGAGAGGCCGCTAACTTGGAGGCCTTGGGCTTCCTCCCCCTTACGGAGGTCTGCCCACAAGGTGTAAACGTTGAAGGCTCTTGCAGCTCCTCAGTGAAACGCACAAGCATGATGGTAATTCCACTGTGTAGCTGCCAAAGCATCAGGAAATTTGTTTTCTTTTAGAGATACCATCTAGCGTGGTGGTTTGGTGGTGTTTTTTCCTTAAAGAAACTACGTGTTCTTGTGAAAGCGGGAGGATAGGTGTCCCCTCTAGACTGGGAGAAAACCATACTTCAGCCTTGCCCTAAAACTAGAAATAGCAAGCCCCAGCCAACTCCCATAGTGACGTAAATGTAATGCTTGAATGCTATAAATCCACAGTCAGGCTTGGCAAACAGCAGCTATGAAGTGCCCTGCGATAGCTGGGTAAGTTTGCCCCAAATACTGCTCCCCCTGCAGCGCTCCCTCTGCTTTTGCGCAAAGCTTACTGCCGGGTTTGTTAAGTCGTGATGATGTTTATGTGCTGGCCTGCTGCTTCTTTTTAAGGAACGGGTGCTGGGAAGCTGGTCACTCCTCCGCAGCCACCAGCAAGATCACCAACAACTGAACTTACGAGCAAGTCTGGAGTCTCAGCCTGGGCTACAGCTCATGACCCCTACCCACCACTTAAAAATGGAAATATGCACATCACTGGTATCGTCATCTAAATGAGATCTCTCAGCCTTAGTTAATTTTAGTACAAAACCCCGCGTGTCTCAGACCTCAAAAACTCACTTGAGACTTTCTCACAGCAGTAACAGGGTATTATAACTAGACCCCCCCGAAACATTTCTGTACAACCTTATACAGAGAGAGAAAATGAAGGATTTTTCACAAACGTTTTGAATCATCCAGGAGACAAGAAAAGCATATGTTACCTGCAAAACTATTTAAGATTGTGAAAAGTTGCTGTAGCGTGCTTACATTCTTAAAACCAGTTCATGGACATTTAGTAGCTTCAATCCTACAGAGCAAAGAGTGCTAAGAATTATTTTTGTGGTCTGATGAATTGGCCATTCATTCTTGCTTATAGGCTTGAAACCCACCTCGCAATACCTCTACTACCACAGTAATCATCAGTGCAGAAAACTGGAACGGCAGCCAGAAGCTGAACTTCAGTTAGTAGCAGGCAGTGTTTGCAATTAAGCCAGAAAACTTGGATGGCTCATAAAAGCACTCATCCAGATTGTTTATATGGAGTGAGCCACTATCAGTTCCAGGGGAAAATGAGTTGGCATTTTTAATTGAAATTACTTGTGGCAATTTTTTTTTTTTTTTAAGTATCTCTTTAACAGTGACTGATGTTTATTTCCCTGAAACTTCCCAGATGACTTCGAATCTAAATTTACTTTCCATTCTGTGGAAGACTTCCCCCCGCCTGATGAATTCAAGCCATTTCAGAAAATATATCCCAGCAAGATAGCTAGAGGTAAGTGCATAAACATGAGCAGGTCTGATAACGACCTGAAAGGATTAAAAATGGGGAGTGGAAATAAAGAACAGAAACGAGCATTAACGTGAAGAACTGGGCTGCTAGCATAGCCACGGAGAGGAATGGGATTTGTTACAGTGGTAACAGGGGCCAAAGATACAGTGAAAAGCGCTTAATTAATTACTTTAAAGTCTTAGTAGCTAAAAATAAAATGATGTGGCTTGACATGCAGTCTGTGTTCTTTCGATGGTTGAATCTGCAGAGCCCTTGATGTTAAAAACAGCGATGACACATGCACAGACCGCTCAGCAGCTACTGTTGGGGTTTTTGTTCATGAGCTTGTGAAAATCACAAAAGAAAGGTGACTTGATCCATGTCTTCCATCGTGTGTCAGTCTAAATCATCCACTGTACGATCTGATCAAAGACTTTTTACTGAAGGGCTATAGAGCATGAGCAATATATATCTATCTCAGTTCAAGGGTAGCAGATAAATGCAGCATCCCCGCTGTACAACTGCATCCAAAATACATATCCAAAAAATGTAACTATCTCCTCTGATTAAACCTGTCCTATCTATTTACAGATCCCTCTAAAAATCCTCCGTTAAGAACACATGTGAGATGAGAAGAGTCTCCTCCTGGTGCTCTCTGGATTGGCATTAAAAAAGAACATCATCAAGATAACGTATAAAACAGAAAGGGTCCCCATTGCAGTGATAGAGTTTGTATTTGAATTGCAAGTGCTGCGATGTTGACATTTTTATAAACTGGAAAAGTGATGTAAATGATACTTTTTGAAGTGGCCTACATAACACAGGAATGTTACCACAGGCTTTTAAATTATTGTGTATAGGTAGATACTTTTTAAGCAAAGCAGCATCAAATTTAAATTCTTTGTAGCATTGAAACAATTCTTATTCTTACCATGCTGACAGATGTTACCTCAGAGTACTTTCTGCATTACGTGTCTGGAGTTAATTTTTCCCCTTCCATCATCACTTTTTAAGTATTTTGGAAATTCTCCAGTTATTATTTAGACATTTTTCAATTAACTAGCAGAAACTAACATGATACCTCTTAGTCTCTTTGGATGTTTCTTCACTTCCACTCTGCCTACCCTCAGATTGTAGCGGAACGTCACTTTCATCAACAGATGGGCCCACAAACCTTTTCTCATCAAGCATGAAGAGGAAGATTACAAGGAGTTGTGGCTGCTGTTGAGCCTACCTCCTATCGATTACAGATCCTTATAGGATAGTGTCTGAAGAAGCCCAGCTGGGTAGGGTGGTCACAGACTTGAGAAAGAAGATGGAACTTTTCCAAACTGGAGGGAAAATTGTTCTACTGTAAGCCAAAAAAAAAAAATTGTGTGTGAATACCCACGCCATGAAGTATGTATGTAAGGGCATGTGTCCTGTCTTTTCCTGCTGGCAAAATGGACATTTACCATTTGTGCAAGAGACTGTCTTTACCCAGCAACTGGGAGGCCTTTGGATGAGGGGTCCAACACCTACATTTTAAACAGGCTACTACAGCTACTATTGCTCAGCCATAGCAGCGGTGAGGATTCATTGTCCAAAATACACCCCGTGGAACAAGCAGCCCCCAAAGCGGTTGTTCCCTTAAATAGAGTTGGTTGAAAAAAGTAACAACCTAGCAGCAGACAACACTTTGAGCTTCTGCTCAATATGCAGCCTGGGGTAAGGCCTTTGGATTACAGATGTTCAGATCTGGTCTAAGATGTCTGTTTCCAGCAAGAATTACCCTTATTCTTGTGCATTTCACTGCATTAGGAGGAGTGGTGCCAGCAGGTCGAGGGAGGTGATCCTTCCCCTCTGCTCAGCACTGGTGAGGCCACACCTGGAGTACTGCGCCCAGTTCTGGGCTCCCCAGTATGAGAGACATGGACATGCTGGAGAGAGTCCAGGGAAGGCCCGCAAAGACAACAAAGGGACTGGAGCATCTCTCCTGTGCTTTGTACAAACCCAAGTAAGTTGTGGCAGGGGGGGGCGGGGGGGGGGGGGGGGGGAGGATCTCATCAATGTGTACAAATATCTGCAGGGAGGGTGTAAAGACAGAGCCAGGCTCTTTTCAGTGGTACCTGTGACAAAGGCAGTGGGCACGAACTGAAACATCAGGGAACACTTTTTTTACTGTGGGGGTGACCGACCAGGGAAGTTGTGGAGTCTCCATCCTTGAAGATATGCAAGAACTGTCTAGACACGGTCCTGGGCAACTGGCTGTAGGTGGCCCTGCTTGAACAGGGGGGGTTGGACAAGATGACCTCCACATCATCTAACCTTCCAACCTCAACCACTCTTTGATTCCCCTTCTTACACCCTTCCTGGGTTCACCAGCTTAAATAAGGGCACTGCTGTTCCGCTGGTGCTAACAGCCAGGCTATTTACAGTTACAGTATTATTTATGTAATTGCCATCAGTTCCTCTCAGCTGCAGCTGTAATAACATTATAAGCCACAGATGAATATCTTTCCCCTGGCCATGCCTTTGAACAAAAGTATTTGGAAAAGGCAGGTAACTGTATCTTTACATATCTCTGCTTTTGTCTTAGTTCTTGCAACAGCTCAGTTACGCTGTAACTCCTACTCCCACACGCATGCACACTCATGATGTGGAGACAGTGTAAGGGTAAGAAGCTCTTCACCTGTAGGACTCTACGAAAGCATCGTTAGTCTTTTCTAGCCTATTATGACAGCTTGTTGTTCTTCATGTGAAAAGAAAAAAAAAAAATTAGTGATGCTTTGACCAATCCTTACTGTCACCATTATTACAGTTACTTGATAAACATGCATGGATACACAAATAAGCAGGGGTCAGCATATACATTGCTTCTCAAACAACTGAAAGTTTAATACTGCTTTGAAGAGTATTTTGTTATAGTACTATTAAAGGTGACTTATTGGTGGTTCTCGTTTGTTCTGGAACTTCTGTACTGCTCTGTAATAATTACCTTCACAAGGATTTAAAAACTACTTAACGCTAGTCTACCTGCCAAAAGATACCTAAAGGAGAAAAAAGTTTACTCCTGTTTTTATTATGATTAGGGATATTTCAGATACAAACAACATAGTCTAGGGATTAAACTAGAAAGCCTGTGCATATTTGCAAGAGTTGGTGAAATGTTGTTTCATATAGGCTGGATCCTTCTTGTTCAAGATCCACTGAAGCTTCTGAAGCTGCTATTGCCTGGAGAAAGAACCACGCTGGCAGTCAGTCCCACTATGTCCTTGCACTGAGCCGCAGCTGCACTCAAGACCACTGGAAGTTTTAAGGCCAATGGGGGGGGGCTCTGGTTTCTCAAACTTGTAGGACTAGTAAGACCACTGGAAGTTTTAAGGCCAATGGGGGGGCTCTGGTTTCTCAAACTTGTAGGATTGCACTCAAGCATGTTGCTGTAGCACAATTTTTGGTTTCGGTTGGTTTTTTTTTTTTTAAATGCACTACACAGCTGAAGGAAAAGCCACATACTATCAGAAAGTTACTACCTGGATCACTGTGCTCAAAACAATTTATTAGTTCTGTCATATAAACAGTTCCAAATACGGACATAAATTCCCACAAAGTAATTGCAAATGTTGGTTTCCTCTTTCTTAAGAAACAGACAAATAAAATATATTCTGTTTTTAGCAGGAACACCCTCTCCTTCCATCTTGCCTCCCCTCTCAACTCTCAAAGGCTAAGTTGTGCAAGAAAGCTGTGTGAAATCCTAATTTCTGCCCTCTGGATGGGACAATCATTTTATCCCTGTTCTCCCCTCGTTCACAAATATCCAGGCGCTCCTATCAGGATGCAAAGGGCTCAGCAAGCAACAGAAGCAGCACTGAAGTTCAACATGGTTATGTGTTAAATATACTCGGATTAGGAGTATTTTCCTTCAAGGTACCCTATCATTCCAGAAGTGGATTTCATGGGAAATCCATTTACTTCAGTTGTGGGCAGTTGGCAAAAGCACACTGCTCGTTCAGCCGTCTGCACCCAGCGCGATACCCTCCGAAATGAAGTGTGCTCCTTGCAGCCCCTACTCAGGCTAGCTAGAGAAAAGGCAAGTTTTAGGCTTACTTGCCTATATCTCCTTCCCTTGTCTCCATTCCCAGAATACCTCGGCACAGGAGCTGTTCCTGTAACAGAGAGCAGGGGAGGTGTGTATTGTGAATGGTAACATGATTAGGTAGGCTGTAAGAGAAAATACCTTCATGTTTGTTTTCTGTAAGTGAAAGGGCCCAATGTTGTCTCATGCAATTGCCAGCTGTCACATAAGGCAATACCAAAGCAATGAGTCTGAATGAAACAATTTCATTAAAAAAAAAATAAATCTAAGAACGCAGTGTGCCAGTATGGCGATGACTGTATTTCCCTAGTGCACAACTCTTACAGTTTCAAGTTGAGGTGTTGCTGCCTTCTAAGGAGCTTTTATTTCCTCGATACAAAAGGCCGTGGTTCTTCACCATCCCCTTCCCTGAGCAGTGAAGGATTTTAATTCCACATGCTAACTTCCACTTATTAAAGACATGGACTTCTAGTCTGAACCTCCTGTTAAGAAAACCCCAACCATCTTCACATGACACAGGAAGCAGTGTTTACTGGTTTAATTCTTAAAGTGTTTGCCCTATCTCACTTCTACAAGAAGAAAATACATGAAAAGCAGGTCTGTCGGTGAGACCGTCAAGGAAGGGAAACATGCTGCAGAACTGCACTTAATATCAGGAAGCATAAGACAGCCATTTCTAAGCCTAACCAGTTGGACTGCCACACCCAACAGTAACTCACTGGTACTTAATGGATTCATCAGCCATGTATGCTCACCATGGAGTTACTAGGAACTGTTCAGCAGTACAAAGGCAAAAAGATGGAGAATAGTCAGGTATCGATCAGTCTAGCATCTATTCCCTTAAAAAATTCCAAATTTGTAGCTTGTATATAAATATGACGCCTTATTAATTGCATCTCAAGAGCCAATAGGTTATGTATAGACGTCTTAGGCATCCAGGCTGGCTTTGCATTTTAGTACTCAGTACTAAAGTGGCAGCCAGGTGCATTACAAACACAAGCTTCCCTAAGCTGGGTGCAGGTGAAGGCAAAACTTAACCTGGGGGACCTACTTCTGGTCATTTGTACAGGCGTAACGTCAGATGCCGAGTTACTGTACGCCCATAGATACGCCCATATGAGGCCAGTACAGCAAGGTCAAGAACCAGGACTTACCTTCCTGCCCCCTCAAAACTGGGATTTCAACTCTACCATCCTTTGTATGAATTAGCAAGCAGAGAAAAATGCAAGTCAGCTTCACTGCAAGCCTAATCCTGAGCAATAGAGGAAAAAAAGAGATTGCTTTCAACGATGATGTGGCCGTTAGCCTGATGAAGTTAATCTTTGCTTTAATTGGTTGCCCAACATACATATTTAAACATTCTGTACTAAATTAGCCAGCATGCACACAGCAATTGGACCAGTCAGTGACTTTCTCCTTTCACTATATACATACACAAACAGGAACACCACAGGATTGGACAAAGGAAAGCAATTTGTTAACTGGATACAGCTAGCAAGTAACATTTTTTCCTCTAGAAATGTTTTTCCTGCAAATTCACAAGTGTGAAGACTTTCTTTCAAGGCTTGAAGAACTTTGCAGTCTTCCAGTGAAAAGGCTAACAATAGCCACTGTAGCTGAAATGAGATAAAATTGATTTAAAATCCATTCCAAGCAAAAGTAGAATTGAAAAAAAAAAATGCTGCAATGTAGCATAGGGAAAAGGGACTCTGGAGACAAATCGAGCAGATGCACTGAGGTAGAAAGGTGGCTTTGGATCCGATTCTGAACACCCTTAGCTTAGTGTAAAAGAGAAGGAAGAGGATCAGAATCGGATCCAACATTTCACATTCACCAATACCTGGTACCAGAAACTCAGTATCTAAAGTACTGAAGTGTGTGCTTACTTTATTTGAAGAACTTTAGCTCTGTGTCAACACAGTCATAGAAAAGATCCACTACTTGGATCCAGAACCTCTGTACGAGTAAGGATATCTTCCATTGCTTCCAGGCCTTGTTTTTCAAGGTCTAACATAATCCTCATCAGTTTCTGGCCTTTATCCTACGGGCATGAAACAACCAAACTCAATTAATCAGCAAACGGGCTCGTTAAAGCATTTTACTGTTCTGTTACGGAGATCAAGTATTTTTAAAAATGAGAAAGCCTTTTTAAGTACAAACTATTTCTGTCAATAGTTTTTTGGATGGTCAAAGTCTAAAAGGAACAGTGCTGGACACTATGCATTAAGAAAAATAACCAAGGAGTTGCTAAGTTTAGAGGAGAGAAGGAAGATGGGAGTGCAAGATGGATAAAGGAAAATGGTACAAGGCTTGTACACATGATTAAGAGGTAAAGCAACTTCTTAAGCCTGTAAATCCACAAACAGAACTATACAAGACGACTACCGCACAACCCAAGGGTTGTACAGATCGTGGTATGTACATGTGTGTCCTTTAGATCATCACCTGCAAGATGATGATTAGATCTGGAATGATGTGTAATGCAACAGCTTTTATAGACTCCAGATCCCACAGAAGGCTTTGTGTGTCATTCTGACTTCTCTTCATGTTTCTGTGCAGGAAATTCACTCCTGAAGAAGGTGTCATTTTGTTTTATCCAGATGTTAAAGTATTTTTTTTTCCCCTTTTTTTTTTTAAAGGAGAAACACAGTTTGTTTTGCTTGCAGCTTTCAAAATTGAATTCCAGGAAGAGAGACATTTAGAATGAGTGACAATTCTGAGCTTTCCAGGATTCACACCAGCATTTGTGCAGCAAGAGTAGAGCACCTATGCTAAGGTTTAGGCTCCCAGGTGGGCTGCTTTTATAGCATGAAGCCTGACTAAAAGCTACATTTCCTTTTCTAGCACAACTTTTGGTGTCACACCATGGGACTTTAATAGGGAAGAGTTCTCAAGATGCTAACATACCTCTTCTAGGTCTTCACTAAATCAGCATCTCGCGTGCTGCTATGGGAGCCAGCTGCACATTGAGTCAGTTACCAGAGGCCACAGATTTTAAATTAAACCATTCCAAGGGATTAAAACCCACATCTAGCCCAAACTGCATTTAAATAAAGTTTATACTAGCAAAGATTACCATGGTCTTCTTAATCACTAATGGATAAGTCTGAATGCTGTTAGGATCTCAGCAAGACCCTTACCTCCCCAAATATGCACAGAGGAAAACTGCAGAAAAGGGAAGTCCTCTGTGGAAGTTCAACATGACTGTGTGGGTCTTCCACAAATTGCCCAAAATAGCAATACCAGCATGACTGGTGCACTCTAGTGACCTCTCCCTCTGTTTTACTTCCTTATAACCAGGTATATAGTTTACTGTTGTAGTTATAATTGCAAATGTCAAGAAACAGTTACTGAACTGCTTGCACTACGACAGCAGAAGTTGTATCTCAATCAGTTGGAAAAGCTGTACAGAATAATCCCCTTCCTGCAGTTATTTATTCCAAAATTTATTCTGCAAAAGATCTTCAACACTTTAGGTTTTTACACTGGAAGGTTTTCAGCTCTCAGGTACTTGTTGCATGGCATTGGAAAGCGTCCTTTGGAAAGCACCATTGGAAAGCATACAAATTAACAGGCATGCATTAAACTGACACTTGCAAAACTGTCACATGCAAATTATTCCTTCAAGAAAAAAAACCCCTCAAGATATGTAGTTCTTCATCCAGCATATAATTTAAATTATAACATTCCTGCCATCATCATATAATTCTGATACCATGTTGCACTAGCATCCAGTGTTCAATAATCACTTTAAAAGACTATATACACAACGGGGACTGAACAAGCTAATCAGCTTGTCAGTTTGAATTTTCACTTCATAAAAGTAATGGAGGAGAGTAACGCCCCCAGGATAACAAAAAAAAAAAAAAACAAAAAACAAAAAAAACCCACAAACCACTATGCAGAGTAGTTTGCCCTTCAGAGGGCGTCATTATTCAAGCTAAACTAGCAAGGATTCTAAGTATATTCAGAGAATGCTTTTTTTTTTTTTTTATTCTGATAGCATGGAGAAATGTTTAGCCAGAAGAGGCTGTATCCTTATTTTTCAGTAAGTGACTCTGAAGTAAATTACGGAGTTAGGAATCTAGGTTTTCTTCCTGAATTCCAGGTCCCACAGCTCTTACCTGATCATTCTCAAGGAGAGATCGGGCCCATTCATGTGCCTTGTACAATTCATGCCTGCGGTCAGGTTTCTCCTGGAATCGAGGTATCTTTTTAGCAGGATCATCATTGCCGAAAGAAGGAGACTGTACTTTTGGTACTAATTTTACATCATCAACAAAAATAAAGGGTTTAAATATGGACCTGAAAAAAATGAGAATTACTGCTTGCAGTAATAAGGGATATTTTTTTGTATGTTTTCCAAATGTTCACCAGGCTATTTTAAAACAACAGATACATAACAGCATAGGTAATTCATCTACACTAGAGATGGACAAGGTTAAAGAGTTGGTACTGGTCACAAGCAAAATAAATCTATGTGCTTTAAAAGATTTGGGTTTTCCAATTACTGTAAAACTTTATTAACCCTTTTTACATACAGGCTTCTTTGGTCTCCTTCATGCCAGTTCTGCCATTTCTTTAAAAAAGTAGCACTGTACTCTCATCTCCAAGTTTTTTTTAACAAATCTCAGCATTCAGCCTCGCATCAGTTTTTCTCCTCTGTTCACACTGCCATCTCTCCTTCTCCTCCCAGATTTCATTTTCATTAAAATCACAAACACACGCTTCAGTGGAGCAGGGAAGATTACATACCTTGCTCAGTGTAAGAGGATTTAGCATATAACCAGTAGCACTTTAAAATTCGGGGGTGGGGGGGGTGGGGGGGAGAAGACATAGCTACCAATATTGTGACATTTCTCAAATAACTTCAACACTGAATTTGGATCTAAACTCCAGAGAAAAAGAGAGAGAGAACACAAAACCCCAGCAACCCAGGACGTTAATTCCTGAGAATCTGAGAGCAGGAATTGGCAAGTGCATGGAGAAACTGCCTGCCTTCCCTTCAGATACACAACAAAACAGCACCCTGCATTCTGCAGTAAAGAGGCTGCCAGTAGTGCGAGACTTCTGCAAAACATGATTAATAACCACTGCCTGCACACAGTCAGCAGGTTCATTGCTGCTACCCTTTCCATCACTGTCATGAAGCCTTACTGACTAAGAGTTGATGTGACTCACTAACTGCACTTAAAATAATGCTTTCTTAATGCATCAGAGTGTAAAATAAAGCAAGAAAGGCCTCTAAACAAGGTTTTTTACAGCTAGGTTCTCCGCCTTTAAAAAGCTCAGAAATTCTACTGAAATAATTTGAAGCCTTGCTCCTTTTTGTCTCAAAATTTTTGCGTCACATCAAAGGAAAGTTTTGGTCAGCAAACTCAAAGTTCATGCTTAACCCTGAAGGTTTGAGTTGCATAATGCAAGGTGTGTGTAAACTCCCTTTGGCATGGATGACTTCTGTAGCCCTCAGTAGAACCTAATGCTTACTACCACTCTTCTTCTAGGAATGACTGTCAGCTGTTCAAGGGCACCATTTTCTTCTCCCCGTAACCTTTTTACCTCAATGCAAGTGGCAGATCTCCTGAGTAACTGCAAGTGGTTTAGTTTAATTTCTGTGAATCCCAGGTGGATTCTGTTTAAAACACAAGATAATTCATTAGTTCTTTGATGATCTGGCCCATCACTTCCCTTATCTCCTCTGCTGCTTTCAACTAGAGAAGATGTCATTTAAACCAACTGGAAATTGTCCCTCCAATAAAAAACATATTTGGGATACCTGGGAGTTACAGATGTTTTGCTCTGTTGACATTTTGATGCCATACAACGCTACCCTTAGTACACACCCCGCCTTTGCTAGTTAGACACTTCATTTGTTTTGGTTTTGCACCCACCTGTTCAAGACAATTGACTAAAATGGTCCACAACCTAATCATCTCAGCAAGAAACTACTGGAAAGCAGCTATGCTGGAGTAATAGTTCCTGGGTCCTCCTTAAACTGCATTTACTCTAGAAGCTCTGAATTTAGGCAAAGTTCCAGATCTGGCCTTTCAGCCCAGTGGTGGCCATTTAGAATTGCAGCAAGATGCAGTTCAGTAACACAGGACTGCGAGATTGCACACCAGCAACTACTGATTGCATTTCTGGTTAGAAGACGCTCTTGAAGCATGTTCCATTTTGGGTAGTAGCATTTAGTATCTTTCAACCCATCATCTGCTCTGCACCCAAGGAACCTCAAAGCTGTGGCTTACCTTGAAGGGTCTGGCGTGCCAGTGAAGTAATGAATACAGGGAAAACTAGGGTCCTGAGGCAGAACAGACACTATGCTAGATGTAGTAAGGAAAGATTCAGAGTCCACGCAGACACCACTATCCTTGTCACGCAGGACATCAATCATAGCTTGTGCAGAAACGTCACCTACATGAACGGGCAGAAAAAAATTCCTGAGTGGTCAATGGCTTCGACCCCAAGGAAGGAATTTAGTCTGAATAGGCTTTCGCCTAATATGATCAGTGGCACTTGACATGGGCATGTCACAAATCCCAGTTAACAGTTTCTATTTAAACAATGCAAACCCAGAATGTACTTGCCTAGCTAGTAAAAGAGAACAGTAAGAAGCATTAATTAGGCATTACAATTTCTAGGTAGAGAGAAATGGCATTAAAAAGGTCTTTTTCAGGAAGAAGGCCATCATGTCTGTAATACTGCTTTAGCAATCACTATGAACAGACTACTTACACAGAACACCCATTTTACTCTAAGAAGCTATTTCTACTCAAGCCCAGGCGTAATGGGAGCACCCTGATCTCCCATTCCTCATCTCACAGAATCACAGAATCGCAAGGGTTGGAAGGGACCTCGGGAGATCATCCAGTCCAACCCCCCTGCTAAAGCAGGCTCTCCTAGAGCATTCTACATAGGACTTCGTCCAGGCGGGCTTTGAATATCTCCAGAGAAGGAGACTCCACAACCTCCCTGGGCAGCCTGTTCCAGTGCTCTGTCACCCTCAAAGTAAAGAAGTTTTTCCTCATATTCAAATGAAACCTCTTATGTTTCAGTTTGCACCCATTGCCCCTAGTCCTGTCACTGGACACCACTGCAAACAGACTGCTTCCATCCTCGTGACTTCCGCCCTTAAGATATTTGTACGTGTTGATAAGGTCCCCTCTCAGTCTTCTCTTCTTCAGGCTGAACAAGCCCAACTCTCTCAGCCTTTCCTCATAGGGGAGGTGCTCCAGTCCCTTTATCATCCTAGTTGCTCTCCTCTGGACTCTTTCTAGGAGTTCCTCATCTTTCTTGAACTGGGGAGCCCAGAACTGGACACAGTACTCCAGGTGGGGTCTCACCAGGGCAGAGTAGAGGGGGAGGAGAACCTCCCTTGACCTGCTGGCCACACTCCTCTTAATACACCCCAGGATACCATTGGCCTTCTTGGCAACAAGGGCACATTGCTGGCTCATGGTCAGCTTGCCATCTACCAGGACTCTCAGGTCCCTCTCAGCAGAGCTGCTTTCCAGCAGGTCAGCCCCCAGCCTGTACTGGTGCATGGGGTTTGACCTCCCCAGGTGCAGCACTCAACACTTGCCCTTGTTGAACTTCATCAGGTTCCTCTCCGCCCAGCTCTCCAGTCTGTCCAGGTCCCGCTGAATGGCAGTGCAGCCTTCCAGTGTATCAGCCACTCCTCCCAGTTTTGTGTCGTCAGCAAACTTGCTGATGGTACACTCCGTCCCCTCGTCCAGGTCATTGATGAACAAGTTGAACAAGACTGGGCCGAGTACCGAGCCCTGGGGAACTCCACTAGCTACCGGCATCTATTTCCATTAGCTCTCAGTCAAAATTTTGAAACATCATCTTTCATTTACAGGGTGTTACAGCAGCAGACCTAGACACTGAGATTTTTCTCCAAACCACCATCTGCAAGGATCCCCTGTTCTCATTCTATTTCCTGCCTGTGTCCTATCACAGCTTTCTCCCCAGCAACTTCTCAAACCCTGCACTGACTCAACCTTCCATGCAAGGGTGCCTCAGTACACCAGGAGACATGGAATGACCCAACAGCCTGGAAGATTTGTAGCCATAGCCATCTATCTGTAGGGGCCCTGAGGCTTTTTAGTGCTATAATCCAGGTTTATTAAGACCTTTCACCTATGGTCCTTCAGAATTCCTGTATCTGCCTCTTAGACACAAACCATGCTCCATGTAATTCCATAGCCTTAGCAGGAACCCTGCATTGCAATAAATACTTCACATCTACACTCTTCTTGACATTTGCCAACATGTAAAAATGCTAACAATCTAGTAAATTCACATTTGTGGTAAAAGACTTTTTTTATAAAAAGATAATTCGTACTATTTTTTCACACATGAAAGAGCAGACACTGCTGCAGGCTGGTCATTTCAGAGCTATTTTGGCCAGCTGCAGTGAACTTAACTCATTAATAAATTTTGGTCTGGAAATAAACCCTTCCTTTGACTGAAGGCAATCCGCACATTGTCTGTTCTGATAGCTTTGTTCTGCTTGACAATGAAAAAGGGACTTCAGTTTGCAACTGACCAGCATTGCTTTTCCTTAAACTATGATCTTAATTCCTTCCCCAAAAGCCTAAGCAAACCTCCAAAAACATAGAATCCATTCAGCTTAAGCTTTCCTACGTAAAGCCATTTTTTTTAATACTATTATTTTAGTATTAGGTACGGCCACTAAACTTACAACAAAGCACAAATGTAGTGGCACATCATACACATCAGAACAACAGTGAAGAAAGTTATTTTATAATTGCAATCCTGTTTTAAAACCTTAAACTTGAGGGGGACATTAAGGGCTTCATCCTAAATTGGGGCAAGTTTAGGGACAGTCTTCAGTTCTGGTCTTTCTTTCCACATGGTTTACATGTAGAGGTATTTTCCTCAGTCACATGTAGCTCTGGACAGAATTCCTGAAAGGAGGCAGTAGTGACTGAAAATCCTGCTGCGCTCACAGAAAGATGGTTCAACACTTACCACCTTGCTTTTCTAGGCTCTCCTTGCCAGAACAGCAGGCTAAATGGTCATCAGCAAGAGAGAACACTTCAGAAAAATTGAAGTCTGAGTCTCCATTCCACCAGCCTTGACTTCTCACGTAATTCCTTAGTTCAGGATGCTCAGCATCAATTTTTGTAGTTAATGAAAGCTGATTGCAAATGCATTTCACCCCCTCTGAAGAAAGAGACACATATTAAAAGAGAGCATTAATACAGTTTTTCTGGGAGAAGCTGGAAGGACAACGTAATTTCAATTAGGAAACAAATTAAACCATTGGTTAGGATGTGCATTTGGCATGACTGCCTAGGTACACATACACAGAATCACCAGTCACTGCGGGTTCCAGAGCTCAATTCTCTGTGCCCTACGTAGATATTTACACTGCCTTGTGATTAATAGTGCTATTTTGTCAGAATGCTAGTTTCACAATCCATACTTAAACATTCCACCCATGAAGTAACAGTGGTCTCCAAATGCCAAAGGCACCTGCCTAATCTTTTCTCCAATGGTGTATTCCACTGCCACAACAAGGCTTGAAGTCTAATTTGATTTCAAAATATAGCTCAGCAAAGCTGCATTTAGTTTAATGACCCTTCTTTCCCCTCAAAACTGAAAATTTAATTTGGAAAATGTTTTTAAAAGCTCACCCAATTGCTTTAAGCTTCCCAGTTGAAGAAGCAAGATAGGCTTAAATTAAACTTCATTTCTAATCTTTAATTTTAAAATGGCATGAAGTAAAAAGAAAGTGTAAGTAATCTTCAAAGAATATTAAAGGGTTTTTAAATTTGCTTTTCTCAAAAATACCGCAGTGCTTATATCCATATATCTACAGCATGACTAACAGTGGCTGCTGCAGATAATCCTCAGAGAGAATAAAGCAAACGCATTGGAAGCCAGGGAAAGAGCTGATAAAGTAAATCTGTAAATTAAGATAAAACCAGATTCTGGAATTTGGCACAAACTTTTTCTTCAACACAAACGAAAGCAATATTTGTGGAAGTTGTTAATACTGCTTTTCACAAAAATAAGTTTGCTTTTATAATGCCTCACGCATGTTATTTAAATGAGTAACCTCTTATAGTAGGAGTTCTGTGTATCAGTCTGCAAAAAAGTCACGGTCATTCAGTTCTGACTTATACTAGGTCACTGACAGTTTGTTCTGATTCACACTTTCAAACATCATACCTTTCAGGGAATTTTCTTGACTTGAGCGATAGGAATATTTGTGTTCACATCAAGCTAGGCAAGCCACTCCTTAAGCGCTCTTTAAATATTACATTTAGTAACTCATGTAAGTAGTATTTCATGGTTTTGATCCCCCTCAAAAAATGAAAATTTACCAAGCAAATAAGTTTTTCTACTCAGACTGAAGAACATGAATAGGATTTTAAAGTGTTTATCCTTAAATTACTGTCAAAGAGTTTCTCGATAAACATTCACTATAAGCTTTACTGAACTGCGGCAGTAATATGAGAAACAGAACAACTCTGAGGACAGAGTTGGAAAAAAAATGCCTTCACACTGGGGAATGACACATTTTCCCCATTTTAGCAGCATTTGTGCATTCATCTGAAAGCTTAAAAGGCATGCTTATGGTTGCAAAGAAGAGTGCCCTGAAAAAAGTATGAGTTCTTACATAGCCAGCAGCCTTTTCTCCTGGCAGCCTCGGCAGGCTGCAGGAGATGGAAACTACTCTATCTGCAGCTCACAGGGACCTCCTGAAGAGAAATGAGCTGGTAAAAATCAGAACAAAGCTGCAGTATCATTTCAAAAAGCTGCAAGCAGCACATGAAGGCAACAGTTTATTTGCTGGGAAGAAGGACATGAAGGTTATGTATTGCTGATGCAGCTAAAAAGGCTACGTAGAAAACACTGTTCTTCAAATATCAGCCAGGCAGGTCAACAAAAGAAGGCAGGTTGTCACTGCATAATCCTAGGAACCTCAGGAGCCAACTGCTTTCCAGAATTTGGATTTTATCAGGACAGCGGTTATCAGTCTTCCTCTATGTTTGATATCTGTTTATGCTAGAAGACTTCCTCCATCTTGTAGATACCCTTAAAATGCAAGCTTTGCTTGGGAAAACATCATCCCTGCTAAGTTAAGCTGATTTGTATTTGGTGGCATGAACTGACAATGGGCCATCACACAACATTACACAGGCTGGTGTTATTTCTGTTCTTTGGTATTTTCAACGAATTTAAACCTCCCTCCTTCCCTGCTATCAGATCTGTCATAGCTCAAAGCATGGATGATAAAAATCCTCTTAAATTATCTGAATTTTTAATTCATTCAAATGTGAGTAAATTCTAAAAAGCCCTACTCTTATGAAAATAAAAATCCCTTCAAGACTAAAAACAACAACTGTGAATAAATTAAACATATGCCTTATAGAATCATATTCTATTACGGCAGCACATATTTGCCGGCAAAGTTTTAAATAAGTTCAGCCACCAAGCCAGTGAAATCTAGAAGTTAGTTTGGCAGCTCTGGCTTCACACATACAGAAAAAGAAACCGCCTACAAGTTTAAAGAGCAGAAAAGTATTGCTCTGCAGTATCAGATAAGAAATTAGGATACGAGGGGACCGTATCTATTGCAGTAAAGCAACCAGCTGCAGCCCATTCAATTTACCACCTAACACAAACCCTTTTCTCAAAGCTATCAATGCTTATCCTTCTCTCTTAATATTTTAGATTTGTAAGCAGCAATTTGGGCACTAGCTCCATTGAAAAGACACTTGATGCATTCCAAATAGTAAATAAATCAGGGAAAATACACTTACCAAAGGTAAAAAAATTAAGCATGATTATTATTACATATATTACGTATACAGGTAAAAATCTCCAGCTTCACAGCAAATGCTAAGTTACATCAGCGAGTGCAGATCAACATTTAAAAAAAAAAGTAGTACAAATACAGAAGATTAAAATTGATGATTTAATCAAACACTTGCATAAATCAGTCACTTACTTAAACTCAGTGACTTTAAGACCAGTTCTTCCATGACAATTCTTTACAGCTATTTATAATAAGAGAAGTTTGCTGTGAGTGATAAACTGACCTGTGATTTTTTCTGCTGCCCAGTACTTTCCAGAAGTCTCCAGTATCCAGGCTTCATTTCTGTCTACAATCAAAAATGCACTTTGGAAAGTATGGCATGAACTCCCATCTTCATAATAATTTCCACCTTGTCCATGCTCTTCCAACAGAGCAACTATTACATCCAATGCCTCTTTAGCTGTTGCACCTCTTTCTAGGCCGAGTCTGTAAGAAAAGGGTAAGACAGAGATTCAGACAAACATGTAACAGTGAAGTTATTCATTTTAAACATCAGTACTGATCTGGTTCTAAAATACCAAGGTGTCAGGTATGCCTAGCATAGAAATTCCTGCTTTAATGAGTTACTAGAATTACAGGATGATAAATTATTTGATGTTTCAAGTCTTTATTTTCCACATTGGCTCTTTATTCTCAAGCCTATCATAGCTGGGTTTTAGTTTTTAAAAAAAGAGTCCAATTACCAACCAACGGCTCAACTGCACTGTAAACATGTAATGCTCTATTTATCCCCCCCTAGGCAGAATAAATTTGAAGGACAATTTGCAAAGGTCTTTTTGAAGTAACAGCTACGTGCAAGTTTACTTTTCTGCACAGAAGACTGGGAAATTGCAAAGTAATATTACCAGAGATCAAAAAAAGGAAGGAGTATTCAATATTACAATCTCTTTATAACCTCTCTTTCCCAATGCTCCAATATTTAATTGCCCATGAAAGCTAGATGTATGTTATCCTTTGATGCACATTGCATGCTGTAGACAGATGCATTTGTGCAGAGTCATGCTTCACTGTTCCTGCAGAGGCTTCACCCAAAAAACATTTAACACCAGATACAGCTCTTGTCTGAGCTAAGAGTCACCATATGTCTAAAAGAACACAATTTTAAAAGAAAGGTTGAGCAAAGCAAGGGTATTTTAGGAAAAAGTAAACTGAGGCACAATAATAGGTTTTACAAAGCTATAGGGAATGACCGCATCCTATCTTGAATAAATGGGATTAAATAATCCCTTGAAATAATTCACAGCCCTAACCAAGTCAACAGGAAAACAGTAACTAAGAGAGTCCAAATCAGACCTGCAAACGATTCCACTGGTTCCAAAATGCAATTACTGGTAATGAGGAAATGCAGTATTTCAAACAACAGCATATCCTTGCCTCCATCCTTTGGGAGAGCTATCTGGATCAGTCCAAAATTTCACTCTGTTGGTTAGACCACCTTAATATTTTCCTCTGTGTTTATCTTTCTCCAATAGCTCTGTGGACAAAGTTGTTTTGACTGATGGATAGTTCCAATAAATTCACCTTTTTAAATTTAAGTACTATGCTAGCCCTTTCCATTTCCCTCGAACTCACATGACAAGAAAACACTACTTACTTTCTTTCCTAAAAACTACAGCACACAAATCAGGTTGTGATAATTTGAATACAAATTTGTTGATCTAAATACTTTTCAACCTGATCTCTACACTGGGCCTGCTTTGTTAATAGTTGGCCTCTATTAGCCTTGTTTTAGGTTGAATACTTGAAAACAGTGTTTTGATCTCTCTCAGCAGCACCTATTTATCACTTAGTGACAAAGGAAAGCCAACTAGCCTTTTAGGTCCTAACTTAGAGTGACGATTTCTCCCCCATCACCTTCCTACCTTGCATTTACAGTCTTTCCCTCATCTTGTTTCTCTTATTAGCCGAAACTTGTTTTGCATTGTTATCTCCATTTTCAGACCCTATGCACTTATGTTATTCCTTCAGTCTTTTCATCGTTGGCACAATTGCTTTTTCAGAGCAATCCAGAGATGCCAGTCTTAGCACATACTACAGACATAATTTAAAAGCCAGTCCAAAAGCATGTCTTATTTATTCCCTAAGGAAAACTCCAACAGCTGTCACTGCTGCAGGTAAACAAATGGTCTGACAACTACCTTGGTGACCATATAGTCACTAGATTCAGTGATAATCCGGTCCCTTCTCCCTAATTTATGACCAAAAGCATTAGGTTATAATTAGATCAAAATCTGCCAAGAGACATAACATCACACTAAATCTTTTCATAACATTTCCCTGAAATTTTCCTTCTGAGATGGTTATAGTCTAGCTTTCTCTGTCAAAACTACAGCAGAGATTCAAGCTGAAGAAGCATCTTTCAGTTTGAGTGGGTTTTTGGGTTCTTTTTGCTAATGGCTCCAATGTCACGCTTACTTCCATTTAACAAAGGCCTAGGCTCTGCTTTTGTTTGGATGCTCCTATCTGTCAGTTACAAGGGGCAGCAAAACCCAAAGAAAACAAAAACAAGTACCCTACACAACAACCATAGAGCTCATCTCCACAAAACTGTAGGTCTCGCCAGTTACCTCAGAATCAATGTCCTGGGTAACTACAGCATAACTCTCCCTCTAACACATTTCAGAGTACCCTTCAAGGCGAGCCAGAAGAAAAGTTTTAAGTAATTTCACCCCCAGATGAGAGCTTCAATTATTCATTAAGAAATTTTCAGTGACTTAGTACAATCCACTGCCTCAGTACCTCCAATATGGTATCACAGCATATTATAACCTTGTCAAAACAACATTATCTTAAGCTTTTCAACTTCACAGACTTTCCAAATGAAGTAACTAACCCAGTTGATGATGACATTCTACTTTAGTCAGTTTTGAGGTCTCTAAGGGAAGAAATTGGTAAACAAATTAATACCATTTTAAAGAGCATTCTTGACTCCCTGCCAAGATTGGCATCTCTGTGTGGCTCTGAAAAAGTGGTTGCACCAGCAACAAAAACAACAAAGAAATAATACAAACACATAGGGATTAAAAACTAAGACAACAATGCAAAAATAAGGGTGTATTTTACAGGTTTATTCATATATACCTTTTGTATGATAACACTGTCCTGTTCTAACTGTATCAGCAAACCAGTATGCCATCTCTTCATATGAATGCACTTCCCTAAGTAAACAGGTGCTTTATAAAGGCAAGTGTGCCTCAAAAAAAAACCCCTCAAAAAACCTACAGCCACACTAGGAAGAATATCTGAAGAAAATCCTGATAAGCTAACCAACGCAGCAATACTGGTGCAGCTTTCAAAGACCACCTTTTGATAAATCCCTAGAACAGAAGTGTTTCTTAGGAGTTTGTGCTGAAAACCGTTTTCTCTCAGTTTTTCTGTCTGTTGTGACTAGGCTCATGTTCTCAATTTAGATAAGCTGGGATGGGGACAAGCCTGCATAGAGTAGGACCACCTTCCACCCCTCAAGTCAATCACACAAACTTTATTCATTTCTTAAGAATCACTCATATGTTCTAACATGCTGTGATACACTATCAAGCTACAAATCTGTAGGTATCGGTCTTAATCCTCAGATACAGCAGTATACTGTAAGTATACAGTATACAGTAGGTAGCATGCTTTTTTCAGGCATTAGGCCAGCAGCCAGTTACTAAACAAGCTAAGAAATTCGTGAAATACATTTTTACTGATGTCCTTTGTGGTCTTCATTGGAAAAAAAAAAATGCTTTGTCTATGAGGTTGCAGGATGAATTTTCAACTTCCAATTTCAACAACAAAACATGCTGACTTCAGAATTATAGTACCTTGCTAAAAGATGTCTCTGGCCTGTTTAATAGCATGTGCTCCCACAACATCTACTACAGCCTTTGCCCATGTCAGCTGCATTTTAAATCCTAACTGAAAAATGACAATTCCAGATGAGTTCAAGGAGAGAGGAAATCTCATCTATGGAAAAAGAATAATCACTTTTCAGAGAATGTAGAAGCACACTCTTAGGGAAGCCTGAGCATTCAAGGAAAATTAGATTCTACTACCTGGATGACATTCCTGGGTTGACAACTCTTATACCTGCTCTGAAGAACATGTTTCACAGTATAAAGCCTTTAGTTCCTTTTGCAAGCAGCTAGTCATACATGCGCACATGTCTTCATCAGTCAGTCTTCATCCTTCAGCTAAGATCTGACACAGATGGAGAAGTCCAACATATACATAGGTGTGATAAAAGTTTGGCCAGCAGAGATGTGCATTTCTTAATTAGGTTTAAAACTCCTCAGTTTATTTTTGTACCAATGAAACCTGAGCGATAGAATTAGTCTGTTCTGCAAGATGAGTGAAAAAAGGCAGAGCTGGTGCCAGCTGCTTCATTGCAGCCTACATGATTGATTTTGTACTTGATGGCTGTCTATTCTATGAGGTGATCCAAAACAGATAAGCTTAATGCATCTGGGTAAGTCTTCACGGTAAGAGAAAGAATCACTTTGGCTGGAACAAGAGACAGATGGTAGTCTGCAACACATCTCTAGTCCTCCTTGCCTGAAGCACTCTGCCTTCGAGCTACAGACAATTTCTTCTGCAGATAAGAAGAGAGGGAGGGTAATATCTACAGGTGACGAGCACTGGTAGCTTATGACCAGTTTCTCTTTATTTTGATATCTCCTGATTTGCTAGTGTGGGTAAATCAATATTTTGAGACTGCAGTAACTGTGACTGAAATAAGCAGAACTCTCCATCTAAACCAAGAGTTTCTTAAAGTTTCAAAGGATGGTAGTAGGAGGGAAAAAATAATGGCGGAGCTTGGAAAGTCACCTAATCTCTCTCTCTTCTTGATAAAAGCTTGACAAACATCCTACATTTTCTTAAAAGAGCCCCCCCCAGTCTATTCAGTCTCCCTTGATACAAATAAATTCACTAGTCCTCCTAGGCAACAGCTTCTCCACAGATTCCTTCAGTAATATAGAGTTTAGAGAAAATATCAGAGAGAAACATAATCCCAATTCCCTCATGATTTTCTCATTGGTCAGATTCTGTAGATCTCTGATCGTATTTCCCATTTCCACTGCATTCTCTCCCACTAGCTCATATTCCTCTTGATTTATGGTAGCTGGAACCAGATACTGTATTTCTGCAGAGACATCATTACAGTCAGAGAACATTTACAATTACAGTTTCAAGCAGCTATACACCTAACAACAATTTCTTCTAACTCATGCTTCCCAGCTTGCTTATGAGAATGCCTTTGAAGGTTTTAATGCCCTCTTAAAAGAAAAGTTATCCATTTCCTATCCTCTATCCATAAAATTTGTTAACTTGTTACAGGAGTAAATTAGAATGGTTTGACAGGACTTTTCTTGACTAACAGCCATTATTGCACCTTCATCATCTCCTTGATATTTAAGTGGGTTTTGCCCCCTTCAGGAAGTGAGGTTAAGCTGGTCTATAACCACAACTCTCTTTAACTCTATTAAGTATAGCCACAACATTAAACCTTTTCCAGTCATCCAGAACCTCTCCCATCTTTCACTGTTCTCAAGAAAAATGAGAATTCACCTAGAATTGTTTCAGCCTGCTCATTAAGGATCCTAGGGCAAATTCCAGCAGGACCACTGGGTCTGACATTGATTCACTTAAGCAATTGTTGTCCTGTTGCATCTTTAAACCAAGTCCATTTGCTCCCTTTCTCTTTGTAATAAGTTTGCACCATTTTCTCTTGTTCTTTCACATTCAGCTTCCTTCCCCCACCCAACTCTCCTTTAAATTCTCTTCACTGCAAGATCAGCATGCAGGTGGAGACTTACAGTGCAGCGCAAGCTTTTTAGGCAGACAGCCTTCCATGAGCAGACTTACAGGAGTTTGTTTGCCAGCATTTAAATAAGGGCAATGGTTTGCATTGGAATGCATGGGCTGAAGTGAGGCATAGTAGTTTGTTTATGCCTACAGTTGGCTACAAGCCCAGGATAAGCTTTTTAGGTCAGAGTAGGCTGGTGTAAAGCGGGGGAGAACGAAGGGCACACCAGCAATCTGATGTTACAAATTAGTTAGCGGTTCCTTACTAACAATGTAATCATTTCTCTTATCCTGTCAGAATAGCCACTGCTAGACTGTAGGGTAGGTACACAAGGTAGGTTTAATGAACCCACATTAGACTGGTACATACTTGGCAGCCAAATTCAGATTCCAAGTGTTAACTCAGCTGCGTCTGGAGCTCCGCCTAGACAGGTCTCCTGCTTAGATTGTTTTAAAATCTCCTAATGCCAATGAAACACAAAGCTGTTACCTGTTATCAATCATCATCTAAACCTCTGGTGTTTAAAAGGCTGCTCACAGCTCAGTAAGCCACCCACCTGACAAGATCCATTCCAAGCAAGGCTTCAGATTCAGAAGCTGGTTCTCTGGTCACGACGGCTTCATTAGCTACACAGACTCCATGCTCATTAGCTCCCATTTCTGCCCCCCAAAGCCAGGAGGGCCTGCTCAGCACAACAGCATGAGTCTTCGGCACCTGCTCAATTTCAATATACGTGCACTGCAGAGAGAGCAGGAAGAGAAAAAGCAAAACAATCACAAGCATTTTATTTAATGCTGTGACTGAAGTAACACAAGGTTTCAATGTATAGACAGGACACGTCATTAAGAAAAAGTCCATGTCTTGCATATGAACACAATTTTTTTAAACAACATTTAACTGTCATCTTTGAACCTTTACATCCTTATACTGCAAAAGCCTGGGAAAATACATCTCTTTTGATAGTTGCAGGCTTCAAAAAATCAGTGGAAAGCAGCAGTAGACAGGCTGTACTGTTACAGTAAAGAAACAGATCATATTTGTACACAGTAACAACATCAAACCACTCTACCATCTAACCTAAGCACAATCTCCAGTACTTTATTAAGTACACAGTGTAAGAATGGTAACTGGGCTAAGTACATTAAGGTGGCTTCCCCCTCTCCCTTGCTGCCTCCCCTGAAGCTGCCCCTAGGACCGAGACTGCTGGTAGAAATTTAAAAAAAAAAAAAAAAAAAAAAAAAAAAAAAAAAAAAAAAAAACCTCAAGATTTGAAAAGATTCAGTGAAATGCCTTGATAAAAACTCACAGGAAATAAAACACAGGCATTGTTTTTGCTTAAAGCTGATGTTCCTACTATTTTATATGGTCTACTGTAATCAGAGGTCTGCGGATGCATTCTGACAAGTGAAAAATACAGAGGATGGCTGCAGAGATGTCATTTAAACTGCAAGGAAAAAAGAAATAATTCGTTATCTTTCAAATATATTTCCTTTTCTCTTGCTCTAGAACTTAAGAACAAGCACTGTTTTCCCAGACAGCATGGAAGAGAGCTTGATCCATCATTAGAGCATTGGCTTGTACAAGCCAAAGGATTTGGCTTTACATTTTTACTACTGAAGTCATGGTAAGCTCTTCAAGGACCAGATTCCACAGAATTTTCTTCTGAGGACGCTGAAGCTGTCGGTGGTATTTATGAGACAGCTCTTAGTGTTTAGCACTCCTGTTGTAAAATCCTCCTTGCAGGAAGTAATCTGCAACATTTTTCTGGAGGAGTATTTGGTCAGACATATAGGATGAACAGAATGGACTTGTGGACTGAAAGTTGTTTGCCGTGAAAATAAATGCTGTGTCTACACTAGAACCTAAAGCCAAAGAAATCAGTCTAAGATTATTAACAGTGAGAAGCTATTTTTTTTCTAACTGGTCTTTCCCCCCTCTAAGGATTACAGAGCATGATAATCTTCAGCCTCCAGTCTTGAGCAATGACTTTTACATAATAATCTAGTATGCAATTAAAATGTGTAACAGATCATCTTTGATCAGAAATGGCATTTTTAAGAGTCCTTCACTCTAACCATGCAAGACAGACAATAGAAATGAGCTTGCCACTTTCATTAGGAATTGTGTGCAAACAGGTCAAACTGTCATCTGTCTACAAAACCAGGCACATTACAGGTGAAATAAAAGGATGATTTCTCATGGAGGAGACATGATAAAAAAAGGGGGAGGAGCTCTTCCATTCTAAGGAATTAAAACCAGAGTGCTTAATTTTGATTTTAGCTTAGGCAAGATGACTCCAACAGGGACTTACCTGCTGTATTTGTTGGAGAAAATCCCTAATATTTGACCAAGCTGTCTGACCACATCACTTCTATAGTAATATACTACGATTTTGTAGAGGCAGATTCCTCATCTATTGAAGTGAAACAACATCTGGCACTAGCCAGGAGCTAAGATCCACATAATAAAAACACTTCATACAGTTCATCCTTTGTTTAATTTTCTAACCAAACCATGCTGGAGCAGCCACTTCTTATCAAGACTCTTTCTTCTCCATTTGAGCTGTCAGCAAGCAAATTATCACCTTTGACATTCTGTGCGAATTTTTTCAGAGCTTTAGGTCAGTGCTGTCTGGATTAGCACTTAATGCATGTGTGCAACCGAACGCAGAATTACTGTATTTCCTGGACGTGCAAAGGAGGACACAGAGCTGCAGCAGCAGGGCCAAGCACCTTCCCATGTTACATGTGAAGACATGACTGGAGCAGCTATCAGGGGGACAGGTCTGCAGCCAGGGAGATACTAACTCTTGCACAGCACAGGTCTTTACTCCCTACATCTCAAAGGTGGTCAGCTAGTTTGAGCCATCCTGCAGAGCTATCCAGGACATGAACCTTCTCAACTCCGCAGCAGAAAGCAAAACCCTAGATGCAGTGTGGAGGAGACTTCAGTATTCCATAAACCCCCACTTGCAGAGCATTCTCCGGCTGAATAGCTCTATTATACAAGCTTGCTTACACTGAGGCTTTGCTTTTCTGGAAGGAAAAATGATGAAAACACTCTGAAAAGTGATAGGCTAAAAAAAATGCTGAACGCCTTTTCTCTCCAAAACATATTCTGGCTATCCTTGCTACCAAACAGTTATTACTTGGGGCCTCAGTCCAGAACCAAGCATTTCTAAAGCTGCTATTCACTATAAAGATTTTATTGTCAACAGTAGCAGCTGAGAAAGGGGAAAGAGAAAATCATTTGCTCCTGCTTGAAGGATCCAGAGCATTCCAGAAAAAAGTGCTTTTGCTTTGTAACTATGTAGTCAGAGGCCAGAAAACGTCCAGAGGCCTCTCTATGCACTTCATTCACTTAGAAACACATTTCAGGCTGTAACGAAGGCAGTTGGCTGAGCGCACTGGAGAGCGAGTGAGACAGCACACCAACGGAATACAGCTGCCACCTTCTATATTGCTTCTTCACATCCCCCAACCCAACGACAAGTGAACGTGGGCCATATTCTCATATTTTTATTTTCCACTTCCATATAATAACTCATGTACACAATGTGCAAGCCTTATTTATATGAATTGCCTCAGAAGACCTAAATAACAGAAAACCATTCCAATGTGATAGTAGATGACACGTCCTTGTAACACTACCGTTGACTTGATTCTTGTTCAACAGTCCTTTGCCATGGTATTGACAACGATGAAAAAGCCTTGATGAGATTTTAATCTTCCCATTAGAATTACTTACTCCAGTAAGCAGAAAAGTAGGCACTCAATAGGACTGATGTATTAAGGCAGGCATTTGATCCATATTTGTTAACAACAGGTATGAGTGTCTGGTACAGGGTATAGGTATAGGGTCCAGATGTGACAATAGATTATTCAATTTTAAACCTAAACCTCTCACCCTTCATAACTCCCTCCCTCCCCCCATTAAAATAACATCAGAAAACTCTTTTCCAAATAAAATAGTATCTTCATGCAGGAAAAGGAGGAACTGGGCTATCCACCTGTATCCAAGGCACATCAATTGTAAAGGTAGGTCAACTAAAGTCAGTCGCTGGATTTGCAGCACAGCAAACCGTTGCTATTTATTCCACAGAAATTAGAACATATGTAACAGCTCAGACATGGAATGAAATGGTGAGGGAAAGACAATGCTATCCACCAAAACCCCTCACTGGCCACTAGATCTCTAGAAATGGGAGCCCAAATGATGACAAGATTTCAAAAGTGAGCACAAACCACAACCTCCCTGTCCCCTCTCCTGCATCCCACTGATCTGGCAAATCCCTCCAGCACAACAGCATAGCAGCCTGTTCTACAAAGATCTGTGCCAAACTAGGCAATGACAAATCAAATAGACATAAGGTACTGCTGTGATTCTGCGTGCTACCAACCCTGTCTTTAAAATTCCTGAAGCATCCAGCCTCAGCATTTCCTAACACTAACATTTTTCTTTGAGTATGAATGCTAAAAACAGAAGAATACTGATACATTTGGTGGCAACAGCTGTGAGTGAGTGGTGTCAGGCTCCATTGATTTGCTAGAACTCCAGCTCTGAAAGCAGCATAACTGGCATCATGCCCTGTGACAGTAAATTCCCATCGGGAAATATCAAAGACAAGACAGACTTCACATACCAGAGATGCAGCAAAAAACTTTAAAGAGAATTAAGCAGGCTGGAAACTAATGACGTTTCTTTTATTTCACTTACAGTATCAAGAAAAGAATCTTATCAAGGCAGTTCTAAGTATAGCACAAGGCACAAATGTACCTCCCACCCTAGCTAGGGCATGCAGATACGTTGGAGGTATTCCAAAAACAGACACGACAGTCATAAGCACAAGAGATTTCTTCTTTCATTAATGAAAAGAAACTATTGTGCAGCTTCTACTGTACTGAGGCTGTGGAAGCCTGATTCCTAGCACTGTCAGTCAGGTCATTATGAAATATCAATGAAATCACATAGGCTTCGACCCTGGGTAACAAAGGCAATAGTCGGGGAATACTTTAGAAAGAAATGATCTTTGAAGAAGGGCTGTAAGATTCTAGATTACAGAAGAGATTCCCCCTCACCACCCCCTCATCAAATCCAGGCTCTAACTTCACATTAACTCTTTGCTTAACTACTTCAAGCACTGCTGTACCATAGCATGTATTTGAAAACAGGCAAAACCTCTGGATTATTGCAGTAACTCAAGAAGTTGCACCATGGCTGCTTTTAACCCCTTCCAAAAGAGGGATGGCAAAAACGTGATGAGGCAGTCTCCCCGCCTGCTGCCTCTGTGGCCATCAAGACACTGAGACTGACAGCCTGGTTGGAACTGTCTAGAGAGGCAATTCCACAGGTGACATGGGCTACCTGGACCCTCCCATCATGGTGAAGTGGAAGACTGGAAAGCTAGAACATGGTTGTTCAAGAAAAGTCCCTCAGACCATCTCCTGTGGATGTGTCTGACAGAGTGTGTTCTACAGATAATTCTTCTGTTTGTAATACAAATTCTGTTCATTTACAGGAACAAACACAACAGAGCTCAAACGAGTGGGAATCACTGTTCTCTGGTAAGAGAAGTATGCAAGCAGTAGCACACAATACAGAAGATGTGGTTAGCTGATGCTGTCACCACTGCTTGCTTATGCATACTGAGCAGCGCTAAGTATACAGTGGAAGACACCTGAAGAACTTTACAACACCGATTAAGCATTCCCATGATATCCTCTAGTATCAGCAAAGCT